CCAAGCCGGAAAAAAAAAAAAAAAAAATTTGCCAAACGGCAAGGCATGGGCTCAAGATCAAGGACCTACTGAAGCTTTCAGGCCCAACTCCCAGGAACTCTCCACAAACCTCCAAGGCTCAACCTAGGATCTTGCCAAAGCTTTAAAGGCCGAGCCCTCGAGCACATGCCGAAGGATTAGCCCACACGCAACCTTCATAAATTATCCCAAGTCTCTTGCCCACACTTTGTTCTTCAAAGCTCCAGCCCACCTTCTGGACCCACATCCCTATGTTCTAAACCCATCACTTGATTACCAAGGACGCACGAGCCAAGGTCGTGACTCAGCCTCCCTGCCGAACGGAAGGACCCGAGTCGTACGTGCCAAGGGCCCAAAAATTTGCTTGCTGAAGCTTCAAAGCCTTGCCGAAGCTACAGAGGCCTAGGTACAAACCTCTTGCTGAATCTTCAAGGGTCCAGGTACAAATCTCTTACCAAATTTCATGCTCTGGCAATTTTCCTTGCGACATGCAAGTCTTATGCAAGCTTTGTGTACCCTTCGGCACCCCGTGCCCTTCGGCATTTTAGATTGCGACATGCAAGTCTTATGCCTTCGGCACCCTCGTGCCTAGCCTCTTCCTCTTGCGACATGCAAGCTTGGCACCTTCGGCACCCCGTGCCCTTCGGCACATTTCAGATTGCGACATGCAAGTCTTATGCCTTCGGCACCCTCGTGCCTAGCCACTTCCTGTTGCGATATGCAAGCTTGGCACCTTCGGCACCCCGTGTCCTTCGGCACATTTTAGATTGCGACATGCAAGTCTTATGCCTTCGGCACCCTCGTGCCTAGCCACTTCCTCTTGCGACATGCAAGCTTGGCACCTTCGGCACCCCTGCGCCCTTCGGCATTCTAGATTGCGACATGCAAGTCTTATGCCTTCGGTACCCTCGTGCCCAGGCCACATTGCCTTGCGACACGCAAGCTTTGTGTCGCCTTCGGCACCCAAGTGCCTAGCCATATTGCCTTGCGACACGTAAGTTTTGTGTCACCTTCGGCACCCTCGTGCCTAGCCACATCGCCTTGCAACACGCAAGCTTTACACCTTCGGCACCCTCGTGCCTAGGCACATCGCTTTGCGACATACTATGATGCCCTTTGGCACCCTCGCCCTTCAGCGTAGTGTTTTTGCTGCAACTTCTCTCCCTCAAATTTCCTTCTTACCCGGGGACTTGGGGGACTGGGGATAGTGCACTATATGACTTGGAAGATGAACTACGGTGCTGCTCGGCCAGTGCACTTAAAATTACAAATCCCCAAGCAAGAAGTACCTTCTTACTCGCGAACTTGGGGGACTACTGTTGACACCGTAACTAACCGAGCAACTAGCTAAGCAAGATTAGCCACGTGCCATGCTTAGAGAGGTCATCACCTTCGCCAAAGAAGCCTTGCCACATGTCACCACTAGGGGCAATGTCAAGAGTCCCACATTGGAAGACTACAAGAGGTGGAGACTCCCCCTCACCTATAAAAGAAGACTGCTCTCCTCTTAGAAAGGGATCCTATCGGATCCGATGCTATCCTATCCTAGGTTGGGCTCTCTCTTCAGGACTCTCCTGCTAGCCTGGCCTTCGGGTCCTAGGTCTCCGGACCCGGGGACTTGACCCATGGGCTTTAGATTCCTAGCTTTGTACCTTAGGCCCTAGGCCTTCTTCCATTTATCTTTGGGTCTAACCCAAAGCTTGTACAAATGTAAACATTATCATAATGAGAACATCTTCTCCGTGGACGTAGCCCATTCATTAAAGGTGAACCACGTATATCTTGTCTTTCGTATATTTATCGCTTGGCCAAGTCCTCACATACATGCTGAAGGTCCTCACCTTCACCCATCATCCATCACACCTCATCACTAAGTTGGACTCAATCTTGGCCAAACCATTTTGAGCATCAACATTACTAATGAAATGGGAACAATGGGTCGCGTGCACCATGTCAATGTGGTTCGCTTGGTTGGCTTTTGTGCTGGTGGGTTTATACGAGCTCTTGTGTATGAATTCTTACCAAATGGCTCATTACAAAACTTTTTATCATCAGCAGATAATAAAAGTTCTTTCCCTGGTTGGGATATGTTGCAAGATATTGTTTTAGGTATTGCCATAGGAATTGAGTATCTTCACCAAGGGTGTGACCACCGAATCCTCCATTTCGACATCAAACCCCATAACATTTTGCTGAACCAGAATTTCACTCCGAAAGTTTCCGATTTTGGTCTAGCCAAGTTATGCGCAAGGGATCAAAGCGCAATATCCATGACAACCGTCAGGGGGACCATGGGCTACATTGCACCCGAAGTGTTCTCTAGGAACTTCGGTAGCGTGTCCTACAAGTCAGATGTCTATAGTTTCGGGATGATGTTGCTGGAAATGGTTGGTGGCAGAAAAAACTTTAAGGTCATGGAGGACTCCACCAGCCAAGTCTACTTCCCGGAATGGATTTATAACCTTTTAGAACAAGGGGACGACCTAAGGATCCATATTGAGGATGAAGGAGACGCTAAAATTGCAAAGAAACTTGCCATCGTGGGTCTATGGTGCGTCCAATGGCACCCAATAGATCGTCCTCCAATGAAAGTTGTAGTTCAAATGTTAGAAAGAGAAGGTGACAATCTAACCATACCACCCAATCCTTTCTGCTCTACTTTGAATTGAATGAATACAACTATACTGTCAGCAAGGCATCTGGACATTTGCGTACCTCAAGAGTTCTACCAGTCACCATGATTTGATATGAGATCATGCACTGTAATATTAAATAACATATGGTGTTGAATATCGTAGTATATGCTAAGTGTTTGGGTTTGAATTTGTCATGAGTCAAATTGTACACATGTGCTACGTCAACAATTTAACAGAAAATTTGATGGAAACTAACAACAGGGACTATTTTGATGTGTAATAGTGTAATCTTAAGGACCATTAGTGTCACAAAAAAAGTTAGGGATAAAATGTGATAATTTCGTAAACCTCAAGGACCATTTACGATAAAAAGCCTTTTTCCAAAATAATAAAATATGTAGGACCTTAAAATATAGTCATGCATGACTAGATATGGAAAAATTTAGCCATATACTATTCTTTAAAATAATAATATTTTGGAGAACTAAATTGTAGCTCTGCATTTGGCCTATAGCCCGTAACTGGAGATGGACTAAGACATGAAATATGGACCTAAGCTGATCTTGACTGTTAAAATCAGTAGTTAGATGGTTGAGATGGCCCCACATCTTAATTGACGGTTAGTTTCTATAATTCATTCCTTGTATATCCCTTTTTGTTTTAATTTTTAGATTTGTATGTTTTTTCTTAAACTACTCTTTATTATCAATGAAAATGAGAAATCGAACTTAAGACCTCTTCTGACTTTTTACTATATTTTTTAGCCTAAATGGGCGGACCTGGCACAACCTGTTTATTAAATGGGCCGGCCCGACACAACCCGTTTCACACCTCTAAATATGGTCAATAAAAGAGGAAATTTGGAGAGGGCAAGAAAAACATATTAGGTGGAAAGATGTGCATTCCTATTAAGATTTTAAATAAAGGGACGAGAAGTGCATAATGACTTTTCGAGAACGTCAATAATAATTTTATAATCAAACAAATATTAAAAATATGCCCTTAAAGCCAACTAATTATGTAATAGTTAGAGTTAAGGACATCTTTGATAAAAGACATATTATGTTATCAATGGGCAAGAAATGCTGTTTTATACATCCTATATTATTTTTCAATATGTAGAACAACCATAGTCCAAGGAATATACAAGTGGGTATGAGAGTCATGTAATGAGATTACATACATGTAGACTTCTCATCATCCATAAATCCTGAATATGTTCATGGTCATAGGAATATTGATTGGGCGTCAATATTCAGCAAAGATCGGTACACACAGTATCGTCTCTATATGTAGGGAATGACAAGGTCTCAAGTCATTAAGTGTGGAGACACATCAATATGTGTGTAGGTGCTTGTAGAAGAACAAGTACACTGACCGTGATCCAACACATGAGTTACAACATGGAAGTCTTTACTCACATGTCAAGCTAGAACTCATAAATTGCAATGGTGCAAACTAATCCTTAGACCTGAGGCATCATAGATGTTTTGTGGTTATGTTGTTAATCTTTGAAGGCACTATACGGTCATGCTAAATTAGGCATAGCTTAAATGTGCTCATCATGATTCTCAATAGATTTATTGAAGCAAATGAATGTACAACAAAGGATCTCTACTCTCAGTAAAGTAGAGAGAATACTCCAAGATATGATTGGTCAAATCTCTGCGCAGATTAGTGGATAAGACTTGAAAGATGAAGTCTTCAAGTCTTACCAGGATAATCATATAAAATGAATTATCCACATTAGGATATTGATAATCGGATTCCATGATCTAATAATGTGAATAAGGAGTATTGATATAAGAGAAGGATTTAATTGCACGATCATTCCAATTTGAATAGGTTCTTTCACAGCATCTCATTTAGCTCGGATAACCGTGACTTGCTGCTAGGCGACAACCATAATTTGTGGATGTCCTAAAAGGTTTCAATTAACCTTTATTAATAGGAAGAATTAAATTGTGGAATTTAATTTGTATATCATCTCTGAGGAGTTGAGTCAACCCACTACCTTGTTAAAGGGAACCTACGGATCTGCACACCCAAAGAATGTGATTAGAGGTACAAATGAGGAGAAATGAAATGATGAGACACAAGTCAATGGTTGATAATCAATCAAATGTTAAAGTCAACGGCCAAAAGTCAACATATTGACCGGAGCAATTGACCAAAGTCAAATAGTTCACGGGGTCAATTGTGTAAGACTATAATTATAATTTAAGAGTTAAATTATAATTAAAAAATTAATTATGAAATTAATATTGACATATAAAAATATTGGATTGGTCTTTTAAATATAAGTTAAAAAGGAAATGGACAAAATAGCCTAAAAGGCTATTGGGCCCAAGGGATAAGGTGGCATAAGATGACATGACCCATGGACCAAATGAAGCCTCAATACCCATGACCCATGTGTTGTCCTACATAAGCTAAGTGTTGGAGAAAACCTAGCCAGGGTTTTTGGTTTCCTACTTTAGTTGATGAGTGATCATCTTTTGTATCTCATCTTCCATAAAACAAAAATTGGTCCAATCAAGAAGTAGACTAATATCCATACTTCTTGATTGCCTTCTCTTCATCTCTAGGAGCATTTGGTGTGGTGAGGTAGATGACTCCAATCTTAGAGCCTTAAGGTGAAGGAGTCAAAATCAAGAGAAAGAAAAGACATTTCCAACAAAGGTGTTCATTCTTATATGAATTGACAAGGCCACATGGCCTACTCTCTCTCTCTCTCTCCTGTATGAATTGACAAGGCCACATGGCCTACTCTCTCTCTCTCTCTCCTGTATGAATTGACAAGGCCACATGGCCTACTCTCTCTCTCTCTCTCCTGTATGAATTGACAAGGCCACATGGCCTACTCTCTCTCTCTCTCTCCTGTATGAATTGACAAGGCCACATGGCCTACTCTCTCTCTCTCTCTCCTGTATGAATTGACAAGGCCACATGGCCTACTCTCTCTCTCTCTCTCCTGTATGAATTGACAAGGCCACATGGCCTACTCTCTCTCTCTCTCTCCTGTATGAATTGACAACTCTCTCTCTCTCTCTCTCTCTCTCTCTCTCCTGTATGAATTGACAAGGCCACATGGCCTACTCTCTCTCTCTCTCTCTCCTGTATGAATTGACAAGGCCACATGGCCTACTGATAAAAGGTTCTGAAAAATTGTAAATTAAACGTAGAAATCATGAACGCTGTCAAACGCCAAATATTTGTCATTGTCAAGCGACGTTAAAACCAATTACCGATCAACACATGCCCACAAGACGAGATCCGCTATTCCCATTTTCCATGTCTCTTTGTCTTCTTGCATAATTTTTTTGACACGTGTCCAACCATTTAACTTCAACATAACACTATTAACTTTATAAAAAATTTTAAAAAAATTAACAATTATATTATTGTTTAAATAAAAAAATAAAATAAAAAATACCACGAAAGTTGAGGGTAAGGGGGCTAGGAGGAGTTGGGGAGGGGAAGGGGAATCTGGGCTGAGGTTGGGGAGGTAAAAGGAGCTTGGGTATTGAACCACCTTGATTATGATTTTGAAAGTACATGAAAAAATTTTGTATGTAATATCAAATTGGAATTGTATATATCCATTGAATAAACCTCTCCACTCACTCCTCCTTCTCAATATACTCCCCCAAATTCAACAATTTAGAGAACCAGTTTGATTTTTATTTTGCATTTCTATTACCATACTTATTTCATGGTTGTAGGGGTCAATTTGTGTGTGAGATGGAGAGAGAGATGTGGCTTGTATGGTGGCCAAGGTGGCTTTGGGTTCGGTATGGGAGGCGGGGATAAGGGTGGGGAGGGAGAGTTGCCTGCCTTCTTTTTTAATCTTGAATTTTGAATTTTTTTTAATTTTAAATTGAATTAAGTTATTAGATATTTTATTAATTTTTTAAAAGTTTGCTTATGTGCCATGTGTCATGTCTTAAACGGTTAGATCATTAGGATGGTCTAGATGTTGCGAAATGTGAGAAAATGCACAACATCTAAATGTAGAGGCTCGGGATCCTGTATGTGATTACTAATCTACATCGATTCACTTTGAGTGTGTTTGTTGTGATAGTATATGTAGCAGTTGTCTAATGTAAATGTGATGTTTGGTGTTTAAATATTTTTGTATCTTTAGACTTTGAATTTGTTGATTATACATGTTTGCATATGAATTTTGTATTTTAAAATCAATATTTGTTATGATGTTTGATTATTTTCGTTATCTTTGGATTGTTTTAAAATCAACTTGATGGATAGATACAATAGTTTTATGTTGATGTTTGCCTATGGTAAAATATGTATGTCTTTACTTCTATGAATTAAATTGTATTTTATCTATATATTTGGTAAATAATGTGCAATAGTGAATTGTAAAGTATTTTACTTGACGAAACTTATTTTTGTACAGATGTGTCATGGCGGCAATATAAGGATTCAAAATTTAAAATATGAAATCTAATTGGAAGGAAAGAATTGACATATTAATTTGGATTTTCAATTAATGTTCTTTCCTTATGTACTGGGTAAAATTGACACAAGAATTAATAAAAGTCAATGGACCCAAATCTACAGGAAAAAAAAAGTATGGAGTAACCTAATCCCCCCTCACTCTCTGATGTGCCTTGCTGGTCTTCAGAGGTCTCCTCTCAGGCATTTGTTGTCCCTATTTTGTTGGATTCGAAGCTCTCTCCTTGGGTGAGAGCGAGTGACGTGTTCAAGCATACCTTGCTCATTTCTGAGGCTTCATCCATGCCTTCTTTCTTGTTAGATCCCTCAAATCTCTACCATTCCATTCCTCTCAGAGTTGTCCTTTAGCTGTCGTCGGTTTGGTTGATGTTCTCCTCTTGGTGCGTCAGTGATTACAATTCCGGTGAAGATGGGTTTTCTCGAGTTGTTGATGGTCATCACCCAAATCGTCCTACTTTCCTTTCGATCTGGTTTCACCTCCTAGATACAATGGCCAACCCAAAATGCTATCTCTCCCGTACATCTTGGAAGGTATGTAGAGTTGCAGAAATGCTACAGCTCGAGTGCTTGCACCACCTCCTTCCTGTTCCATGGTTCCAATTATTTTGCCTTTGGGCTGTTTTGAGAGTTACTAGCTATGATGGCAGATTTGTGGTGTGGATATGTTTTTCTGTTGTTTTTTTCAATTTGGTTTTGTGCGGTTTTCTTATTGCATTTAGTTTTGTAATTTTCATTTTTCTTTAGCTGTCAATTTCACCATCTGGGACAATCTCGTTGTTCTTGTTTATTGGATATCACAGTTCGTTTGAGCTTCCTTATTGGGTTGCCTTATTTTGTAATTTTGTGGCATCCCCGTTTCAGTTTTATGGAATTATCATCTTTTTCGACCAAAAAAAAACCACCTAATTATGGCTAGAAATTTTGAACTCAGATTGAATAACCCTTAAATTTATTCAAAAGTAGTGCTAGAAACTAGGTTTATTATAAATTTCTCTAAAGGTGAGAGTTTTCCTAAATAGACAAAGCCTTTGGACCTCTCCAACCTGTGGCTTCCATGTGCGCTCTCACGGTGGGCTTAGACTCGGCCGAATTTTACGTGAGCAATGCTCATGTACGAGCTACAGCTATCATCTCTTTATACGTTAATTAAATAGCTCGAAAATATAAAATTGGAGACACTGATCAATTCACTTGTTGATTTGTAGGAAAATTATGGCAAGCTTACAGCAAATTCTGAATTAAAGTTTCTCTTTAAATTCATTAGACTCAACCAGGGTCATCCCTGAGATTTTGAGGGCCCTGTGCGAAACTTAAATTGGGGCCTCACATAATCTAATACAAAAATACTATAATTTTTTTTTTTTGCCATGACTTAATGTTATAAACAATTTTTTTATAACTAAAAGTCACCATCAATAAATATGTAATGACAATCAGAAATCAAATTCATAAAAATTTAAATGTGTCCATTTGATAAATTTAAATGTTTGGTACAAAAATAAGCTCATTGTGCCCCTATAAGGTCCCTTGCTGCCTTCAATAAGCAATCTCTGGTTAATAGGAAGAAAAAAAATTGGCAATAACAAATTAAAGGGTAGTCTGACTATTTGATTTTGAGTGGTCTTTATGAATTTAGGAATAAGGAATTTCTCTTTTTGGTGTTGAAATTCCTGAAATTGAAAGAATAACAAAAATTGTCAAATGATTGAAAAAAAAACCAAATAAAGATTGATGAATGATGATGATTACTTACCAGAAAATCAGAGTTTAAGAGAAAGAAAAAACCATGAAGTATTTTTGGTTTTGAAGTAAAAAGTGTTTGGGGAATATATAATATATATACTCTTCTTGTTGTTAACTTCGATGTTTCCCTTTTGTTTTTTAAAGGCTTTCTGTTATTTTTTTAAATTTATATTTATCTATATATATAAAGCAAAAGGAAGAGAACGGTGAAACATTCAAAAATCCCGAAAATACTCTTGGTAAACTAAAATTTTTAAACACACCGATTTTAATTAGAGCAGGGTATAATTGTAAAAGAACAATTACGCAAAACTTTAATTAAAAAGAAAAGAAAAGAGGTACAGACCCAACTCCAAAGCAGTTGCTCTTCTTTATCAGTTTCTTCTGGCACGTTCTATTGAAATAGGATGAAAGCAAAACAGAAACCGTCGAAAACCCACCATGGCCCTCAAACTTGGAAATGCATTTCCCCCCCTCCCATGTTTTGCAGAGCAATAATCCTTATCTACTCACTGCATAAAAAGGTTTGAGGTTTTTTTTTTTTTTCTAGGTTCGTTTCTTCATTTGCGATGTCAAAAATTGAGAAGTAAATCATAAATTGAGTTTGGTTTGTTGTTACAGGGAGGAAGATTGAAGGAAAAAGAACTGGAGCAATCAATATTGGAACCTCCAGTCTGCTCATCAATCTGGTAGTTCATGTCTTTGTGTGGCTGATTTTCTCTTTGCCTGTGTTTATTCCAGAAAATTGGTATAAAATTATGGTATGATTTTGTGTGCTTATTTTCGTTTTTTATTTTTGTGAATTTTCAGTATTTGTAAGATGTTGCTGTGTATGAGAGAGTCAAGAAAATTATGGTATGATTTTGTGTGCTCATTTCTTTTTTTTCTTTTTTTTTTTGTGGATTTTCAGTATTTGCAAGATGTTGCAGTGTATGAGAGAGTCAAGAAGAGCCTATGAGTATGACGAGATTCTTGGCAGGGATTGATGACTCAGTTGAGGATGAGAGGGATTTGGATCAGATCATGGCCGACCGCAGAGCCGCCGAAATCGAGCTCGATACCCGCGACGGCGTACAAACAACTCGCAAGCTCCCTCATCTTCTCCATGACCAAGGTAAGCTCTCATCCAAACTTTATTTCCGTCAAAATTAATGTCTCCGTACAATTGGGAACCAAAGATAGCTGTGTTAGATTGTATGATGATGATGTTAGTGTATGTTGATTCTGTTGGCATTTTGGTTGCAGATACTGATGATGACAGCCACAGGCCTTCAAAGAGGACGAGGGCTGATTTCAGGCCTCCAAGAAACTACAACGATAATGATGGAATGCAGAGTTCACCGGGAAGATCACAACGCAGAAACTTTAGAGAGGATGTCCCAATGACTGACCAGACTGATGATGATGGCTATGAGGTTTAGGTATACAAATCATGCTTCTGACTTGGATGACCTTTTACATGAATTTCTCAAATAAAATTCTTCAAGCTTTTCTCATTTTACATGAATTTCATGTGCAGGATGATGATGACCAAGAAGCCGAGTTTGAGATGTATCGTGTTCAGGGAACACTCAGGGAGTGGGTTACTAGAGATGAAGTGCGAAGATTTATAGCCAAGAAGTTCAAAGAATTTCTGCTCACCTTTGTGAAGAAGGGTTCTTCTGACATTGAATATGTGCGCCTCATTAATGAGATGGTATTAGATAAGGGCTTAGCTTTATTTAACCGGCTCTTATGCTCTGTTAACTGTACATTGGCCATTTGTACTTTTTATGTCAATGTGTTGTGCAAGCAGCAAGCTGCAAGGTACATAATGCCTCGGATCTTTAATTTGAATTTTGAATCAATTCACTGTTGCATTTTGTAGCCAATAAGTGTAGTCTGGAGATTGATTACAAGCAATTCATCGGTACTCATCCCAATATTGCCATTTGGTTGGCTGATGCTCCTCAGCCTGTCCTGGAAGTCATGGAAGATGTTGCCAAGAATGTGGTGTTTAGTTTACACCCCAATTACAAACGTATCCATCAAAAGATCTACGTTAGGATAACCAACTTACCTGTTTACGATCAGATTCGCAACATTCGGTATTGTGGAGAATTTTTTTTTTTGCTACATCTTTCCTACCTTTTTCCTTTGAGGTGTAAATGTCATCCTGCTCTTATGGTGTGCAGGCAGATCCATTTGAATACCATGATTCGTATTGAAGGCATTGTGACCTGACGCTCTGGGGTCTTTCCCCAATTGCAACAAGTAAAGTACGATTACAATAAATGTGGGGCAATCTTGGGGCCATTCTTTCAAAACTCTTATTCAGAAGTTAAAGTTGGTTCTTGCCCTGAATGCCAATCAAATGGACCGTTCAGTGTCAATATTGAGCAGGTGAGTTTTACAAATTTACATACATTTGCCTTCAGTTTTCTTTTTGGCTGGAAAAATCTGAAGAGAAGAAAGGGAATCAACATTGCAGTGGAGGCTGTTATGGGAACTTATAATTAATATTGCACCTCAATTATGCTAGAAAAGGTTGAAAATGGATTTTATTTTTCTTCCAGTTTTTGTTACTCCAGTATTATGTTTTTGGCCGCCTTTATATTATCGTATGGTTTCTGAGAAAAGGGATCAAATGAAAAATAATAATTTTTAGTTTTAATTATCTGCTAACCATTTCTCTTTCTGTTTAGTTTTAATCCGTATAGGCAGCAGTTCCTTTCAGTTTTTTTACGCTCTCATCTTCTTCTTCTTCACTTTTCGGGGTCCAGTCATTAGTTCAAGAACTCGAAGTCCAGAGTTGCTTCAATGACTCAGGTTCCATGTTTTCTGTTTAATAATCTTCAATCTGCAAAGTATCAATTCTTTAAATGGTACGAATCTCTCTCTCATACAAAGCTATCCCTAATTTATGTTTGATTGACTGAAACTTTGGCTAGGGTCTAGGTCTGTGTTTATGTTTGTGTTTGTGTTTGTAGTTATTTATGTGTTTGACTTATGAAATTAAAAATTCTTTGGAATTTTATCTCAACAGATGGAATCGCCTCTCACCTCTCTCTCTCTGACGCATAAGGGTTCCATAAGAAGCAGAGGAAACTATATTTAAGGTTAATGATTCTTCATTTCGTTATATTTTGTATTTTAAGTTTCCAATCAGCATACATTAGTTTAGTTGGAAGATGATTTTTTCCTATTGGGTTCTCTCAAAAGTTGTCCATTATTATACAATTTCGTTTTTCCCCCAAAATTATACTTTTTAATATTGGCTCTACTGTAACTAGGTGTTCTGTTTTCTGCTGATAATTTGGGCCTCCAAATTTGCCTAACAAAGCCATGGCTTTATTTATCCACGTTCATGTGTTAGTGAGAATCCACGATTTCTATTTTTGTCTTTCTGGAAGACGCAGGTGACAAAGGAAAAAGAAAGCAACCAAATCACCATTTGGGATACTTTTGGGTTGTTTCTGACTGGAATTGGGTGTTGGTTTACATTTGTTATTTATTTACACTATCACTATTAGTTTCTTCTTTCTTTATGTTTATTTTTTGTTAAGTGTCCAGGTCATTATAGATCCAGATTCAGTTTCATATTGATGTAAAGTGTCCAGTTCAGGCATCAACTTCTATTTTTTATGTTACGAATAAGATTATGCTTTGATTTTTTCTTCTTCTTTTTTACTCAGGGGTTATTTTTGATACAGGAATTAAAAGCAAAATGAGGATCAGAGTTGGAGGGAGTTCAAGAGTAACATGAAAGCAGAACAAAACGGAAGCATCATGGTGAGTCAACAGAAGCACCGATCATGACATCTTCGAGCAGTGAACCAAAGTCGCTCTTCTTCGTGGACAAGTCCAAAGGTACCTCATTCATACCTTCGTTTTTTTGTTTTTGGCAAAAGGTCATTTTTGGTCCCTGTAGTTTACCACTTTTACCACTTTGGTCCCTGTCGTTTCAATTTGGTCAATTTTGTCCCTGTGGTTTCAATTTGAAACAATTTAAGGACAATTCTCAATTTCTGTCAATTTCTTTTAACTTCTGTTACTTGTGGATGGGCAATTTGGTCAATAAATTATTAAATAAATAAATTCCTTTTAAAAATAAAAATTATTGTCCTAAAAATAAAACCTCTCTTTCATTCTCCTCCCAACCCAACGCCTTTCCCAACAGTAACCACCCAACTCCAATGCCCACACAGAGTCCCCCGCCAGCCACCGCCTCCATATAACCCAACCACCACCCCAGCAACCCAAGCCCGCCCAACCCCAAACAACTCTGATGATGCAAACCAATACTTGTTTTCGATTGGCTTAACTAAGACTAGAGAGGCAGAGGATTTTTTCTTTTTGTGTTCTTTCTGATCTACTGAAGTTTTGTTTTGTTTTTTATTGGCTGAAATCCCAGAGATCTGATCTGCTGAAGTTTTCATTGCCACCAACCCAAATCGATTAAGCTTTTCCAAGAAATTTCAAATTTTTTAACCCCCATTTTCTCCAACTTTTGTCAAGGATGCTAAGCAAGCCAAGCATACTCATGGAAAATCTTAATATGCAATCAGCAAAACTTTACTTTCGGAAAAATTGTAACCTTAGTCATTGACCTCAGCTTTAATTTCTCTTTGTAGCTCCTCCTTGTATTCTTCGAAATTCCCAGGGAAGACCCTCACGGTACCATCTTCAACACCCCAAATTTCACTCTTCTCTTCACCCTCGCACACACGCGATATCAGCCTAGAATCATGACTCACCAGTATAACTCCACCGGTGAACTCATCAAGTGCATCAGCCTGCATATCTAAATGATTTGTGGGTTCATCCAACAGCAAAATGTGGGGCCTTGACATGGATATTGATGTGAAGACAACACTGGGTTTCTGCCCTCCTGATAATTTTGATTCATCAGAGTTGTTTAGGCTTCGGTGGTGGTTGGGTTACATAGAGGTGGTGGTTGGCTGCGATTGGGTGGAGACTGTGTGTGGGTTACAGGAGGAAGAAGATGATTTCAATTTCAATTTTGTTGCCCAATTTGATGAGCTTGGTCTGATTGGCATCGCAGGAACTGGGGTGGGTGGGGGAGCTCGGAGGAGAAATGGACGGAGAGAGAGAGAGAGAGGGACGAAGAGAGGGAGGGGTTGGGGTGGGTGCGGCTGTGCATCGGCAAGAGGGGTGGAGAACATCGGGGAGGCATTGGGCTGTTGTAGGGCAGGGAAGGACTGGGGTCTGGGTAGATTTTTTAAATGTTTTATTTAATTTATTATTTTATTGGGGTTTGGTATTCTAATAATTTGTGGACTGAATTGCCCCTCTACAAGTAACAGAAGTTAAAAGAAATTGACAGAAATTGAAAATTGTCCTTAAATTGCTTCAAATTGAAATCACAGGGACAAAATTGACAAAATTGAAACCACATGGACCAAAGTGGTAAAAGTGGTAAACTACAGGGACCAAAAGTGACCTTTTGCCTTTGTTTTTTGTTTCAAGTGACATAATTGCCTTTTTTCGCAGCTGATAATAACACATCCATAATGACACACTGCGATAGACTTATTCCGAAACATAAGTCTATTGTTTTGATGGATTGTTTTAGTATTCTTAATATCTTGCTTTATATTAAGTTTTTTAGTTGTTTTTGTCTTCTTCTTTTTATTTTTTTGGTGAATGCAGAAATTTGCTGCATGAGGCTTCCAAAGGCAGGAGGAGGTTCATGTACAAGCAGCAGCTAAAAGGATTTCAGGATCATAATTTAATTGTCATGATTTTTTTATTTTTTTGTTTTTTGTTTTCTGTTTTCCTTTTTCAATGGTTGCAATACTAGCTTCAATTACTATATTTTGGTGTAACGAGTTTTGTTTTAAATAAAGACTTATTCAATTGCATCTGTTCCAAATTCGGTTCAATGGTTAACTATGATAATTGTTATCAGTAAATACAAAGAGGAATATAAATTAGTTCTTGCATTTGTTTTAAATTCTTTTCAATATGATCAACTATGATAATTGATTTATTTTTATAAAGGTTATCAAAGAATACAATACAACATATGTTATGTTACCAAATTATTGAAAAAAAAAACTTTTAAGGACAATTCAAACTGCATTTGGGAGAATAGTACTAGACTAAAAGTTTATTGGTGGTTTGGTTAAGGGTTTTGATTCCTCCATTGTGAAAAAAGGGTTAAGGTTTTCATAATTTATCTTACACCTTAGTGTGGACTTTTGTTTAATTTATCACTAGCCTCTCTGCACACGCTTCCGCGCGTGCGAGAGGCTTTTTTTTAATCATGCGTGCTACGCTTGACTTACAAAGTTTTAGTTTTAATTTTTTTGCAATTGTATTTTGCTAGATGCCTATATCAACAATTTTAATTTTTTATCACCCTTATTTTTCTAGATGCCCGTCTCAATATTTATTTTTTCTTTTATAGCGTGTAATCAACAATTTTAATTTTTTATCGCCCTTATTTTTCTAGATGCCCGTCTCAACAATTTACACGCTATAAAAGAAAAAATAAATATTGAGACGGGCATCTAGAAAAATAAGGGTGATAAAAAATTAAAATTGTTGATATAGGCATCTAGCAAAATACAATTGCAAAAAAATTAAAACTAAACTTTGTAAGTCGCGGGTAGCGCACGTGATTAAAAAAAAGCCTTTTGCACACGCGGAAGCGTGTGCAGAGAGGCTAGTAATAATTATGTAAAGTTTATGGTTATAAAGCAAAAATAATATAAAAAAAGCCAAATGGACTGACTTCAGCATGAATCGAACTATGGCGCTTCCAATAAGTGAACATGCGTTGGAGCCAACTCCACCAAACACGCTCTTGTGCAAACATTTTGCACGCTATACTATATATACAATTCCTACAATATTAATATATACGATATAAAGAATTTTTTTTTTGGGGCCCTCAAGAATCGGAGGCCCTGTGCGGTGGCGCCACTTGCACCACCCCAGGGCCGCCCCTGGACTCAACAACAGATGTCATAGATCCTTGAAACATTTGTAAACACTACTACATTTTAATCCTTGCGCGACGACGTAAATTTCGTCGCGCAAAACAATCTCGCGCGACGCGGAACACAAAGCGTAGCGCAAGAATAAGCGACAAAATAATTCGTCGCGCGAAGATCTTTTACGCGACAAAAATAGAATTCGTCGCATAAAGTCGTTGGGAAAACGCGCGGAAAAATTTATTTGGCGGTGAAATTTGTGCGACAGTATATATCGTCGCGCAAAGATATTTTATGCGACAATTCAAATTATTCGTCGCGCAAAAAAAACGCGCGAAAAACGAACTGCTGTTGGTAATATTTCGCGCCCAAAAATTGCGCGACGGAAGTCTCGTCGCGCATAGTACATAACGGCGAAGATGTGGCGTCGTGTAAGAATAAAGTGCGCAAATACTTGCGCGACGAACATTTGTGGGTCGCGCAAAAATCTATGTCGACAGCACCTTGCGTGACCGGGAAATAAAGTTTGCGCGATGATAATTGTGTTTGCGCGACAGATTATGTACGACGAAATAAGCTCTTCTCGTCGCGCAAAGGAACAAATCTTGCACAACGAATCATTGGATCCGTCGCGCAAAAGCTTTGTCCTATACATAGATCAGTTCAGCCATGGCAGAGGCAAACTGCAAAAAAATTTGCAGTTTGCCTCTGCTTGTTTCTCCCTCTGTTTCGTGCGGTATCGGCTCACAAAACTCGTCATTTTCATTTCGTTTGTGAGTTGAGCTACTTCTGCCTCTGGTATAGTCATTGGGTATGCATTTTTTGTCGTTAGTGTAAAAATTTTACTGTAAATTCATACTAACGCCATTAATTTCCTTGTATATAGGAATATTATATGTGATTAGCGATTGGTGGATAACGATTTAGAAGGCATTTTCGTTGTTTTATAATATAAAATTTATTACATTATGTTTATATTAATTTATGAAATTATGTTTATAATATGTTGTTAAATTATGCATGTACGTTAATGTACGAAGTTAATTGAAATTAACTTCGTACATTTTTTTTTGGTAAAGCTTAGTTCCTATTCGAGGTTAGTTGGACCGCGCATGAGTGGGTAAACCACGACTACGGTCCAATTAATTCTTGAATTGTCCCATATTTTGGACAGTTTGGAAATGCATAGTCATGTCACGTAGTTTACAGCTACAGGATTAGGTTTTGATTGTGGAGATTTCGGTGTCATCTCGGTACGTTCTTCGGGTGGTACGTAGGTATTTTATATCTACGGTACACCTTAAGAACTGTACCGAGATGCTGCCGAAATCCATCCATGTCAAAATCTAATCTCATGTAGCTGTAAATTACGTGGCATGACTATGCATTTCCGAATGGGATAGGGCCCTTACCGGAGGTATAAGGAAAGATTTTGTACGAATACAACATGATTGTTGTATTGTGATTGTGGTTCCAGGAATGATGAGCAGGAGGTGGATACAGAACCCGAATAGGTGCGCAGACGAATACTTGGATAGAATCGAGGATTTTATTAACTTTGCATGGACACACAACCCGGGTGCAACTAGAATCCGGTGTCCTTGCAGGAGGTGTAACAACATGTTGTGGGAAACAATTGAACATGTTCGATTTCATTTAGTAAGGAATGGAATGATTGAGACATACAGCACTTGGAACCATCACGGGGAACAATTAGACATCGCTTCGTCTTCAAGGGCCACAAGAGGGGACAATGTTGAACTCATTGTGGATCCTAATGAACAAGTCAGGGATATTATAAATGATGTTTTTCCATTTGCATCGACCAACAGCAATCAAGAAGGAGAAGATGACGTGCATACACCAATGGACAGTGCAAAGTTCGAACAGTATGAAAACCTATTAAGAAATGCCAACCAAGAGTTATACCCAGGGTGCGAGAGCTTTTCCGTTCTGACGGCGATTGTCGAGCTAATGCACGGAAAAATAAAGTATCGTATGTCGAACCTGTGTTTCGATTACTTTTTGGGGGTTTTCAAGAAAATGTTTCCAACGGACAATTGTTTGCCGAAAGATCACAGACATGCACAGAAGATGTTGAGTGGTCTTGGATTGGGTTATGAAAAGATCCACGCTTGCAAAAATAATTGCATGTTATTCTACAAAGAGTATGAAACGTTGGATACATGCCCTATATGCAATGAGTCGAGGTTCAAACAGACATCTCAGAATAGAATGAGTAAGATACCACAAAAAGTCATGTGTTATCTGCCCCTGAAACCAAGGTTGCAGCAATTGTATATGTCGACGCATACTGCCATAGACATGAGATGACATAAGGAAAAACGGATAGACGACGATGTGATGCGGCATCCTGCAGATGGGGAGGCATGGAAAGATTTCGATCGAACGTTCCCCAAGTTTGCTGCTGATCCCCGAAATGTTAGGTTGGGACTTGCCACTGACGGATTCAATCCGTATGGGGTTCTAAACCAACACCACAGCACTTGGCCGATTTTCGTATTCCCATATAATTTGCCGCCTTGGAAATGCATGAGAAAAGAGTACATGATGATGACTATTTTGATAACTGAGGATCCTGGCAGGTCAATCGATGTGTACTTAAGGCCGTTGGTTGATGAGCTCAAAGATTTATGGACAAACGGGGTGCGCATGTACGATAAATCCATTGGGAAGATGTTCACTTTGCGGGCGGCAGTTATGTGGACTGTGAATGATTTTCCCGCATATGCAATGGTTTCAGGGTGGAGCACAAAGGGTTATATGGCATGCCTTGTATGCAAGGAAGATGTAACTTCTAGTTGGCACGCTGGAAAAGTGTGTTACCTTGGGCATCGAAGATGGTTACCATGGGACCACGAGTGGCGGGAGAATGATATACAGTTCGACGGGAACAAAGAACGTCGCGCAAAACCTAGAGAATGGTCCGGTGATTAGATCTTGGAACAGCTTAACCGTTTGGATTTTGCTCCATTCGGGAAAACAGTTAGTCGGACCAGACCTGCTACACATATGAACTGGACGCACAAGTCTATGTTTTTTGAGCTCCCATATTGGTCGAAACTAAAATTGAGGCATAATGTCGACGTTATGCATGTTGAGAAAAATGTGTTTGACACATTGATGGGAACGATTCTAGATATCAAGGGCAAGACAAAGGATACTCCGAAAGCTCGTCTTGATTTGCAAAGAATGGGCATACGAAAGGATTTATGGCTGAAAAGGGGCAATGATAAAGCTATACGGGATCTTGCATTTTTTTCCATGAAACC